GGTGGAAAGGACAGATACTGTAGGCATAGCCGAAGTGAGAAGGGACAAAAAGAACACCGTGGAAAGAGAGGGAGAAGTGGGAACTTCTTCTGAGGAGAAGGGATGTCGGAAGAGGACATAAGGGTATGCGTTACTTGAAGCAGAAGGGTTTGTCACAGGACAGTTTCTGCTTTTTCTTTGAGACAGAAGAGCAGTTTGTCTACTGAGAGGAAAAATGGCTAGAGGTAGGACAAGGATCTCCAGGAGAGAGGCAAGGTTTGGCAGAGATCCTGTGTGGATAGAATCTGAGGCTCCGTGAGGATGATTTGGTAAGCGTGAAGAAGGCCTCATAAGTGTGTGATGGTCCCATCAGCATGCTTAGGTAATTCACTTCTGAAGTGATCAGCATCTTGGGAGCAGGAGAGAAGACTACATGCAAATTGCTGGATCTAGGTGTAGGGGTGGGCGGGGCAAGTGAGGTGGGAGTTAGGGAATTGAGAATGTTCATGAGAGTATCCAGTAGATTTAGAGACCATGCAGGCATTTATTCTGTCCCCCAGATTTTGATTTGGTGGAGCCTGTCCCCATTGCAGATGAGAATCTATCAGTGTCTTCCTACCTGCTGAAACATAGGCTGACGTGATGGCCTGTGTTGTGCACACTAAGGCGAGCAGCCTCGCTGGGCTGCCTGCCCACGTCAGGGCACCGGCTCCCGTCCAGGAGGACGGTGTACCTAGTGTACCAGCAGGGCTGCCTGAATTTTCTACAGCAGCTTAGTGCTATGACATTACTGATTCACTGTGGACGTTTTTCTCTCTACACATTCAAGCCATTCACACATTTACATTTCTAATACATTTCACCTCTGTTTTCATGATCCTCTTCTCATTCAGATTTTCTAGTCTTCCTCACTTTAAAGTTCAACTTAGAGATTTCAGTAATATTGGACCAAACTTATGAGTAGAAAGATGAAGTGGCCATGGCATGACTTAGAAGGCTCTGGCAAGGCCCCTTGTGGAGCTGAGGCAGGACTTTATTTATTTACTTAGGTAAACTATTGACTCCCTAGAATTCCCTTTTTGAAAATGCAAATAAACCCAGTAAACATAGTCCAATGCTTCTCTTCCTTTCAGTGTGGATGCTTTTGTGCCCATGAATAAATGCAGAAATCTCAGAAGCCAAAGGTTTACTTAAGGACACTGAGAGCTAATCACTGAGACACAGTGATTCAGTGGGAATCACTGAAAGGTTTTGAACTAGGATCTGGCCATTCTCTCTCTCTCCATCAGTCATATGACAGGTTATACTCTGTTTTCGGGCAACAGCTTAACCCAGGTTCCATCTAGATGGAAGAGCCCAGATGGGAGTGGGTCCCTTAGAATGGCAATGGGTAGCAGCAGCCACTCTCACCATCAGATTTCTTCTTCCAGACAGGGACAGGAGAAAGCCAGAGGATGCTGATGCACAGGGCAGGCCTGGCAGTAACCACTATGCCTGGTCTAGTCATGCTGGTCATTACATTTAAAAATGGTCTTTATGATTAGTAAATAGGGACCTGAGTACCTGCTCACCATCTAGGACTTTGGGGAACAACACCATCCCTCCATCCAGCAATGAAGTGGTTAATGTTTGGCTCAGTTGGGATTGGGGTTGGGAGCCTTGCAACTGGGGTTGTGAAACATTTTGAACTATCAGTCCTGGAGATAACTTTGCAGATAGGGAAGGAAGGGACACAGTAGAGGCAAACATCATGGACCCCACATTTTGCAGGCCCTTTCTGTTCTCTGGCTAGTTCCCGTTGCTGATAGGCAGCTTTGGTACCAGGTCATGGGGCATCTCTCACACTGGGAGCAGGGTGTGGAGAGTGAAAGAGGAAGGTGCACACTCTCTCTAGAAAACACAGGACTTTATCCTGTCCCCTTTAGGACATGGTAACTCATCAAGGGAGTGAGTGATAAATTAGGTTTGGGGGTACACCGACCATCAGAAATCTGGCCAGCTTTCAGAATGAGGGTGAGGATAGTTTTTATAGAAATTGTAAACAGGAAAATTAATCTCCAGGGTCTTTCCTTGTAAAGAAATCCTTCAGGACTTATAAAGTCAGACCACATTAAGACATTCGGGCTGCTTTCCAAAGCAACATGGACTTAACCAGATACATTCATTGAAAAATATTTTGAATATTGCAAAATAGTTTGGCCTTGGATGACATTAATTAAGAGACGTTTCCCTGCAAATAAAAACCATCATGAACTATCACCTCATCACAAAGACAAGAGATAACAAATGTTGGCAGGGATGCGGAAGAAATGGAACCTTTGTGTGCTGTTGATGGGAATGCAGATCATGCAGCCACTGAGGAAAGCAGTATAGAGGTTCCTCATAGAACTACCACATGACCCAGCAATTCCTCTTCTGGGTATTTATCCAAAGGAAATGAAATCACTATCCTGAAGAGATATGTTCACCTACATGTTCACTGAAACATTAGCCAAGACAGGCAAACAACCTAAGTGTTGGACAGATGAATGGCTAAAGAAAATGTGGTTTATATATAACTTTATATATAGACCATGTAATACCACTATATATTACATAGATAAACAGTGTGATGTTACTTAGCCATAAAAGTGAAAGAAATCCTGCCACGTGTGACATAATAGATAGACCTCGAGGGCATTCTGTTAAGTGAAATAAGTCAGAGAAAGGAACACATACAAATACTGCATAATTTTACTTATATGTGGAATCTTAAAAAAAAAAGAATGAAGTCATAGAAACAGATCAGATTTGTGGTTGCCAGGGGCAGGGAGAGGGAAGGTGAGAAAACGGTAAAGATGATCAAAATATGGAAACTTCCAGCTATAAATAAGTTCTGGGGATGTAATGTACAACATGGTAACTTTAGCTAATAACACTGTACTGTTTATTTGACAGTTGCCTAAGTAGATCTTAAAAGTTTTCATCATAAGGAAAAAATTTGTAACTGTGAGGTGATAGATGTTAACTAAACTTATTGTGGTGATCATTTTGCAATATATATTGTATATCTTAACTTATACAATATTATATGTCAATTATATCTCAATAAACCTGGAAAAAAGAAGACTTCTCACCAATATAAATTAAATGCTGCATAGCATAGTAATATATTCCTATTCTAGCAAATATTTTTAAATATGAACAATACACAGCATTTACTATGTGTAAGGTGGTATTTCTAAGTTATATATATTTATATACTTATTTTATACACACACACACACACACACATACACACTCTTCACCATCTATCTGTGAGGTTGGTGCTCTTGTTGTCTTCACTGTACAAATGAGGAAACTAGGGCACAGAGAGGTTAAGTAACTTGCCCGAGATCATACAGCTAGTTGAGTAGTGAAGCCCTGCTTAGCTGTTTTATTGTTTCTAATTGTCCTTCTCCTGAGGTAACTATTTTTAAGAGTCAAAGGGACTCGTGAACAAGAGTGATGCCTGCTACCACCAAAGCCTGCTGCCAGCATCACCAACCTTGGCTACTCACTTCTTTGAGAGCTTACTGCAGGGGTTTTTTTTCTCCCCCAAATTCCAGACTTGAAAACGTGCCCATTTCTCCCTCAAGCTAAAATGGCTGTGCAGCCTCAAGCATTTAAAACAATATTTAACTCTTGGGGCTGTTAGGCCCAAGAATCAGTTTAAAATATTGGTGAAATCAGTCCAGCCTGGATTGCACTAATTGACCCAAGACTTGCACCTGTCCTGGATCCCTTCCTGCACACACACGTTCTTGTATGCTGTAAGTCAACTTATTACCTCAATGCCCAAAGCCGTCTATTGATAGAAAAGCCTCTTTCTTTCCAGAAGTTCCTGCCCCATGGATGCACCTTCTGATTGAGTTTCTTATCTCCTTCATTTACTGCTTCTTTAAAATGTCACCCAAAGCCCTTCCCCCTTCCTTTCCCATCTAGCACTCTGAGTTTATGGTCTCCGTTCAGCTCAGTTCTACATACAGATGTGAGTCCCATTGCACTGTGTGCTGAGTGCAAGCTCTTGGCCAGAGAGGCTCACTATCAATTCCCCCCTCATTGCTCCCTTCCACAGGACCCTCCCCCAGAAGAACTAAGACTCAAGAAATGGAAGACGCATGGCCACAGGGCAGCGCTCACTTCCAGCTCTCGTGGGCTTTACTGCACATGCTCTGACATTGCATAAGGGCTGGGCACTTGCTAGAACTAGACATGTGGGAGCTACTGTTTTCTTCTTCATTTGGTTATTACTTTCTTTGGGCTGTTTCTAGTCTAGGGAATAGAAATTGATAAACAGGCACATATCACTTGGGCATGGCAGGTGATGGTGGCTTATTCCAGGCCCTAAGCTATTCATGGAGACACTGTTCAGAGCTATGAGGTGGCTTCAGATGAGAAGGATGAGAAGGAAGCAAGTTCTTACAGACCTTGTGGCCAAAGTGCTTCCTGTAAATGTTGGCTAAAGGTAATGAAATAAAAGTAGGTGCCACTCTTCACTGTTAAAAATAAAGAGCCCTGAGGCATTCTTTCAGATGGGCTGACTATTTGCTAAGACCAGGTGGCCTTGGGGGAGTATCAGCTGGGACAACTTAAGTGTGTGTGGTATGAGCACACACATGTGCACGATGCACACACATGTGCATGATGCACACACATGCACTTATATTCATTACGTGTCCAAAAAGAACCATCATTTACAGTCTTCTGGGCATCCTTCCTAACCACCGACAGAGCAGCCACCTCAGCTGCCCTACCTAAAGGCTGTGTCATTGGCAGCCTCACTTCCCTAGCCCATACCAACTCCTCATGACTCCTGGCTCCACTGAGCACTGTTAGTGCATGCCAGTTTTGTGTGAAGTGTATAAACAATGAAAGATTTTTCCTCAAGCTTTACACAGTTTTTTGTCACCTTATCCTACTCTTGGTCCTGTTAACTTTGTGTCACCCTTTTCTTTGAGTGGCCGAAGGCCTGACTAATGAGGAGGGCTTCGGGTACTTACCACAGTGCAGCAGAGGGGCCAGAACCACCAGAGGAGAGCCAGGGCCAGGAGTAGGAAGAGGATCAGCAGGGCAATTGCCAGGATGGAGCCATCAGACTGCGGGGCAAAGAGGAAGAGCAGTCAGTCTCGGGGCAGGCCATGTGTGCAACCCACTCGGGCTTGGGGTGGGGCACGGCAACACCTGTGGTCTTCCCCTCACATCACCAATATGCATATTTAAGGCCCACAAAAAAGCACAGTTGGTCAAGCCAATTGTTGAAACTCTGCCCATCATTCTGAGCAACCCACTCTGTATAGCCAATTCTCATGAGAAGTAGATTCATTCTTTCAGTGAGGCTCCACTCTATGAGCAACATTCTGAAGGACTGACCCTGTAAGAGACGGAGCAGGTGGCTGCCCACACACCTGGGCACTGAGGTGGCCCACCTGCGTCCATCTGCCTGAACCACCACCCTCTGCCCAATGATAGCCTTCCATATCCTGGATTGCCACAACCTGGGCTGGCCTCAGGATAATGCTACTCAGGATTCAGCCTGCTCCCCAGAACCCATTCACTTAGGTTCTTGTAACCGATTCCTGAGGCTATGAATGGAAAGTCTAGAGCTGCTGATAGGAAACAACCAAGGGAAGATGGATTGCAGGGAGTGGAGGGTGAAGCAGGCTGCTGTTGAACCTGAGAGGGAAGGGTGTGGTGGCTGAGTCAGCACTGCAGTCAGATCAAGTGGTTCTGTGAAGGCCAGGGGGTGAGGCAGGCACTCAAGGCAAATTACATCCACTTCCAAACGTGCCTAGGCCAGCCCTGAAAATAGACATGATTGCTGTGGCCTGCGATGGTTGTTAACTTTTAGCAAGCAGAGATCCTACTTGATGTTGGTATTCTGGGGTTGCTGTTTCAAGAGGCAGATTTAAATCTCCACTACCCCTTACCCCTTCCTGGCTACTGGGAGTGGAAATGGGTATGACTTTTGGGAGAAGAGGTGGCAAGGAGCTTGCTGTACGTATTAAGGCTGGCAACTTCACTTTTAGCCCAAGAAAATAATCACGTATGTTTGCACAAATAATAACAATAAAGGGAAAACCTAAATGTTTAACAATTAAGGAATGGCTAAATAATGCATTCTAGAACTACCATGCAGTCAATTGCCATGCAGACATTATGCTTTCAGATAATATCTAAATGACATAAGAAAACATTCCTGATATAATTAGTGGGTTTATGGATATCTGTGTTGAGAATGGGAGGGAAAGAAAGACTGAGGGATATTACTAAAATATTAATAGTGGTTTTGCTGGTAATATGTTTATGATATTTTTCTTCTTTTTTAAAATCTATATGTTTTAATGAGGAAATAAACTGGAAGTTGCACTATAAATCCACACCTGGGCTCCTCCCTTTGGTGTCAGAGCTCACCGGGCCCAGGAGTTCTTACCCAGGGTCCATGGACTAATGGGGCACCCAATGGGGCTCAAAGGAACCGAAGGCTGTGACCCTCCTCAAATGACACTCATGATTTTTGGTGCATGTGTCTTCAGGGGAGACCATCCACAGCACCATCAGATTCCCAAAGCTGCCCCTCTGCCCCCATTCACAGAGGTGGGAGGTTGGGTGGCCTGAGCAGAGCAACTCATCAGGTTAACGGCAGAGCTGGGATAGGACTCACTCCCACTCTGATCATGCCCACAGTGAGGGCAACTGAGAGCTGTTTAAAGGCAGCTCTTACTCCCTGGAATGTCTTTCTTTGATCAAAAATCCAGGGAACTAAATACCCTGGCCCTCAATAAGCTAAGGCTTGAGAGTGCCAGATTGCCCCTGAGGGAGCTGCAATCTTAAAAGTGCAGGTGCAGGGCCAGGCAGTGGGTGGGGAGAGAGCACGGGGCCAGCAGATAAACTTGGCCATAGTAGAGAGGATGCTCCTGGACCCACAACATCTGTGTATGAGCTACAGCAGAGGGCAATGCTCTCAGTGATGACACAAAAAAATCATGTGTGTTTTCCAAATGTGTTAGTTAAGGACAACCCTCTTGATATGTCAGTCTCTACATTCCACACCCATGCAATGGAGACTCTAAACCTCACCTGCCTCAATGCAGCAACATGAGGACAAAATGAGCCATAAGATGGAAGCAGACATGGCTGGGCAATTGGGATGAAAACTATCATGTCTAAACATTGAACTCACCCTCCATTTCCCCCTGACTTCTGTGGGGAAGTCGGGTATTTCATGGCAGGTATTTCAGACATAAATCTGTTTGCACTTGGAATAAATGGTTATGGAGAGGCTTAAAAAATAGTGGTCTTTAGTATTGTGTAATAATTAAGTGAAGAGTACATACCACACTTATTCACATTATATATAATCTCTTCTCTCTTGATTTCACATTTCACTTTATTTTTAAGAAGACTTTATTTATTTTTTAGGGAGAGGGAAAGGGAGGGAGAAAGAGAGAGAGAGAAACATCAATGTGTGGTTGCTTCTTGCTCGCCTCCTACTGGGGACCTAGCCTAAAACCCAGGCATGTGCCTTGATTGGGAATTGAACTGGTGACCCTTTGGTTAGAAGGCCAACACTCAATCCACTAAGCCACAACAGCCAGGGCTGATATTACATTTCATTTTAGACAGAGAAGCAGAAAGGCTGATGTATTGTGGAGAAATATTTAAATTTCCTTCTGGAAGAAGGGGAAAGTTTCCTGTGAAATGGGGAGAGTAAAAGACCTGGTGCACAAGGGGAGAGAGGAGGTTCTGTGCTGGGAGAAGATATCTTGGTTTTGGACAAGGTTATCTTTGACCTTTCTCCACCCAGGCTTAGTCTGCCCCTTATGAGCCACAGTTCTCTTTGGCCGTGTTGGAGGAGGATATATGGGACTCAGGAAGGGACAGGTGCAGCAAGGGGCACTGGGGGAATGGAAGTGCCCAGGGGCAGGAGCTTTTGGGAGAACCATCTACTGCTCTAGAGACAGCTCATTCTCCCACAAGAAAGCCCCCCAGTGCACTGCCTGGTATTCAAGACCTTCCAGCCACCATTATATATGCAGTGCAGAAGAGCACTATCAAACAAAGGGCACATATTGTTGGTAAACTTAGACCTGACGCTAACATTTTACTAGGAGGTAACGTGCACACACCACCTCAGAAGTTTGTTCACATATTCATTCAGCAAATGTTTCTGAGGATCTGCTCTGTGCCCACTGAGCAGAACTCTGGGGTTCAAGGTTGATAGACAGAACCAAGGTGCTCATGGTTTGTTGGTGGAGATCTATGAACAACCACAGGCAGGGGCTGTGTGTTATGTGACACCTCTTATGTACCAGGCAGTGAACAAAATAGTCTCTGTGCTTAAAGAACTTATGTTCTGGTGGAATTGTAATAATGATAATGATGATGATAATAATTGTTATTAGTATAGTTCATATTTATTGAGCTTTTACTATGTGTCAGGGACTGTTCTTTCTATGTACTAACATGCTTTTTATATATTAGTTCATTTAATTCTCATTAACAACCTTATGAATTTAATGATACTATTTTTTCAATCTTAAGGTAAAAATAGCGAGGCAAGGACAGGTGAAGAAACTTGCCCAAGGTCACAGGGAGCAACCAGGATTGAAAGTGGAACTGTTTGGTTCCACAGTTCTGTTTAACCAGCAGACTAGTGCACTTATTAAGCAAGTGCTAAGAACCAAGTGCCTGGGAACTAGGACTTCAGAGAGGAAGTAACACACTGGAGCTCTACTGCAGGGCCAAGGAGGGGTGGCATTCCTGCACAGCAAGGCAAACAGAAGGTGCATGGCATGGGGGTGGGGGTGAGAGGGAGGTGGGCTCCCTACTGTGAGAGGCCACGCAAGCCAAAGTGGGCAGGTTGGCCTCTATCCTGAGTCCAGGGGCATCCCTCATGGATGTAACTCAGGACACTGTAAAGGGGCTTGTTTCTTCAGAAGCAGTTGTTGAACACGGACGAGGAGGGAGAGACTGGGGGGTCAATGGCCCAGGTGAAGGGCTGCTGCAATTCCACCCAGTTCTTTTAGGATGACATCTCACAGGGTCACTCCTTCCAGAACTCTTGCATTTTTGTGGATGTGGTCAGTACTGATTTTACTAACACTAGCTGACTGTTACTGCGAGCTATGCACATTCCTGGGACTATGCAAAGTGCTGCCCATGCTTCATTTAATTTAATTAAAAGAGCCTTGTTAAAGCAGACTTGTAGGGACTGTTGTCCCTTTTTGCGGAAGGAATAGCTTGAAGTGGAGACCTGCAGGGACTTGATTTCAGGACACAATGTGAGAACAGAAGCTGACTTGCCCAGCAAATTCTCAGTCTGACACCCGCAGAGCTGGCAGGCCCTGCCTGCAATTGACCACAAACCTCCGAAAAAGATTTCTGAAGGGAGAAGAAGCTGAACATAAACAGCCAAAGGTTGATTCCTACCACTGTTGTTTTCCTGACAGGCTAAATATCACCACAAGTTAAATTCTTATTTTATTTAATAAAAGAAAACACAAAGTTTAAAAATCAACATGGTCCTTTAATTTAAAAAAAATTTTTTTTTTGGCAAGAGGTGGGGGACTCTGGGGTGTGCTGCTGGAGCTGAAAGGAAGGGCATGGTAAAGCCAGCAGCCTAAGGTGGTGCTTCTGTCAGTTGGGGTGGGGATCACCTGTTGTTTTCTTCAATGAAGGATTTTAGGTCTCTCCCCACTGACCCCCCAGTTTTAAATGCTGCAGTATAATGTGCTTTCACAGAACAGATGTGGAACATTCAACACGAGGGCAGGACTCCCCCAGCTCCGCTCTGTCCAAGGCGTTTGCTGTTAGGATGACCTTCCGTCAAGGATATCTGTCTGGCTTGAAAGGCCAGTCTCTGCATCATGGCTGTCTTCAATGCCTCTGTTCCCAGCTCACCAAATGAGAACATGTCTTTTAAGACAAGGAGGCATTGTGTTCAAGGATCTGGGTTTGGAAACTTGGGTAATGAAAGCATGCCTTACTTGGTAGGTTTCTAGGTAATTCTGAATATCTGACACATGGCTTGTGGCAGGGGTGGGGGAGGGGTCTTGCTGGGCCTGCCTGCGGTGGGACAGGACAGAGGCAGGCCTCT